AATAATATGTATTGTGACCTTTCTGATATGTCTTGGTTTATTTTCATAATGGTGGAGACAAGAGGAGTAGGATATGGAGATGGTGGCCATGGTAGGCCACGATTGATTGATGATCAAATATGGGACATCATCACCTCTGAGGTGGCTGCTGTTGTCCGAAGTTCTATGCCAGAGATGTTTGGGTCTATCATTGAGCTCTTTGATGAGTGATATGTTGCTCTTTCTGATGTTGTTGTTCGTACAACTACCATGGTTGTTTCTTCTGCAGGGATTCGAGGAGAGATATCCTTCTAGTACTAAGACTTCGACAATACAAAGCCCCCAAAGTTTGATAAGGTCAGGGACCCGATTGTGGGGCTGAGGTGGTTGTCTGATGTGGAGGGTTGTTTCTTCACATGTTCTTTCCCGACTGACCAGAAGGTTAAGTGTGGCATGAACCTTTTCTGGTTAGGGGCGAAGGATTGGTGCCTTTTCGTGACTGGTGTTACACTCCTAAACAGAGAGTTGATGTTACTTGGGAGCAGTTCTCGGAGATGTTCCATGCGAGATACGTTCCCTTGGTGGAGAGGGAGAGGTTGTCTTATGAGTACTTGGAATCGAGAAAGACGACTGAGACAGTGATAGAGACCACTAAGATGTTTACTGAGTGGGCTCTTTTCTGCCATGAGTTACTTCGAAGCAGGATCAGATGACTCGGTACTTGAGCATGTTCACGACGTATATTCATCAGTTCGTGTCCACCCAGCATTATTATGACAACCGTCAAAATTCAAGACAGTTATAGATTTGAATAAACTTGGTTGTACGTGTAGGCCCGACAAATTCTAGACATGGTAACTAGAAGCTAAGTTATAACCTACTAGAAACATGGAAACAATTAGAAACGAGGGATAGTGTACTTAGATTTCACATTGATATGTGAATTATACAACTACTTTAACTATAACAACTATCTAAATTTGGATCATTCCTTGACTCGAGCATCTTTGTATATTCATGTAGAAACATCATGCACTTGACCTAGTAATATAAATTAGTTCGTAGTCTCAGAGGAACTTGAGTCAAAATTGAAAACTAGGACTACTATACTTGATTCTTCAATTTCACTTAAATCTCAAAGATTCAATTTATTTTGATATCCAAAGATTTACAAAATTCTTTAAAACCCTAAAAGTTCTAAAAACTTAAGTTTATGAAGTTTTACATTTAAAATCCCATAGAAATTTTTATAAACTCTATAATATCAAATTAAAATAATCAAGCTGTGAAAGATAATCAAGGAAATTATAGTTTAGTGTACCAACATTTATCCTTAATTTATAAGTGACAAAATCAAGGATTTTATAAAAAGAATGTAAGGCTTAATGCATATTTTATAAAAGTTGGAAGAAACTTTATAAAAATTTGTGGAAATAAATTAAATAAAAAAAATCCCCCTCCTTTCTCCAAATCTCGACTCTCTCTCCTCCCACTCTTCCCAAAACAGTTCACTAATTAAAACATCTCCCACACTCTACCTCTCTACTTCTCTCTCTAAAAACTTCTCTCTTCCTTCTCTCTAGAAATAACGAACTTAGAGGGTGTTTGGATAGGGGAAAAAGAGAGATCCTATAGCTTATTGTTTATCCACACCGCTATATGCTAAGTTTAAGTTTTTGGATAGGAAACATTAAAAATCAGCTTATTGTGGTGGGGAGAAGATAAATAAGCTACTTTTGAAAAGCTTCCCCCTCCCCCTTGCTTAAAGCTTATAACATATTTCTAATCCAAACACTTTTGTAAAAGCTACTTTCTCACACCGCTATAAGCTAATAAGCTATAAGCTAATTTATCCAAACCCCCTCTTACAAGCCAAATCTACAGGATAGATTTTTCCATTCGATTATGCATGAGTCTACATGCATTTCTTTATTTTGGTGACCGATTTTGGTTGAGAAAAACCCCAAAAAGGTGACGAGAGAGATTGGGTATCCAGAGAGACAGATTCTCTTTTCTCTCTTTTCTTCTCTCTAAAACCCCCCATTCTTCCTCTTCCTTTCACCCATGAATTTGGAAGCCAAAGAACTCCATTTGTGCTTAAAAATCTTCATCATCAAGAGTTATTATTCAAGGTAAAACCAAAAATCCTCCATTCTCCCTTCATTTCATTAAGATTTTTCTTGTATTTTGTTCTCATTCTACACCTTTCTCTATGTAAATCCATGTGCATGTTCGTGCACTTCAGTTTTGATGATGATGGTGGTAGGATTTCACCCAAAAACGATATGCATGTTGTTAGAAGGTGAAATCCAAGGACCAAAACCTATGTCAACCCCAAAAATATGAGTTTTTAGAAGTTTTAATGTTCATCAACCACATGCATTTAAGCTTTTCATTTAGAAACATCATTTTGAACAAAATAAGTTCATTCATGGTCTTTAAATCAAGAGGCATGTGATGAACATCAAGCTTAAAGGTTTGACGCTCAAAGTACATTGTTAAGAAGGTTCATAAAGGATTTATTCACTAACAAATACCTAAAACTCCTTTTCAGTTCAAATCCAATTTTTCCCAAAATTTGAACAATAAAATAAGATGATCTGAAAATTTTTAGAAAATTATTAATTATTCTCGAATTATTGTAGTATTTGCAAGAAAATAGAGAAATAATTCACATAAAATATTTTCTCAGGTCTATAAATCTTATATAAATTGCTAGATGACCTGTAAAGAAAATAAACAACTCCGATGAAGTTTCACCTATTTTTGTCACAGTTTGCTACGATATCTAATTTTCTTTGTGTTTAACTCAAATAAATCATAAATCTAAGTTCTGAAATATGAAATGAACATCTAATAATTTACACCACTTTTAGACCTTATATCACACCTAGATAAATATTTTGAGATTTTTTCATAACATATTTCTATTTTTCCACATTTTTTGTGTATTTAATGGACTAAATTAGGGAAAAATAGTTACACTTTCCTATAAATCATGAAAGGTTCCTAGGATATCTTCTACTTCAGTAGGATACAAAATAAAAAGTTTAGTGATTTTCCTTACTGCTTACTATTTTTCGCAATGTAAATTCTTATTTAAGGTAATAAATCATGGAAAATGCCCAAACCATCTAAAAATCATGAAAAATGTCCAGAACGTCTTTGATTACAGTTTAACCAAAATTAAAAAGTTTGATTATTTTTACTCACTTTTTACTATCCATTTCGAATTTCTTGTTATTAAACACATCTAAAATCATAAAAATAGGTTCCACAGTTTAAAAAGTTCATTGACCACTTAGCCTAGCTTCCAAATATTAAAGATAAATTACTTAAAATGTTTTAGGATTTATTTCAATTTATTTCTTTTTATTTTTCAATTTCCTAAGATTAAACATCAATAAATCCAAAAATCGGAGTCCACTGGTTGAAATTACTTTTGATATTTTTTCCAACTTGTATAAACTGAATAATAGTTGTATATAAAGATTGATAATTTTTCTTAACAGTTTACTATTTTTCCATGAATTTGTGAGGATTCAAGTGGTTAAATATGGAAAAATAGCTATTCATATCTAAAATTCTTGAAACATTTTTTGGAAGTATATGGCTGTAATTGGAACAAAAAAAAAAGGTTTTGTGATTTTTATTTACTAATTTCTATTTAATTATAAGTTCTTGTTGTAAAACGTAATTAAATTATAAAAACCAAGTTTTATTGATCAAAAGTAGCATATAAGATTTTTCCCAGTTTAGGGATATTGTGAATCAGTTATACAAAAAATCTAAGAATTTTTCATGATCATTTACTGTTTTCCAAGAATTTATGATTATTCAAGGATTTAAAAATCGTGAAAAAAAAAGTTACACAATTCAAAATTCAAAGAAAAATTATATTAAGGTCTTTGACTTCAGTTAAAACTGAAATACAAAGTTTGTGAAATTTAAGAACTAATTTGATTTAATTTTGAATATTTAATCATTTGAAACACCTTTCAAAATGTTATAAGTACATCAATTAACATTGCAAAAATGGGATTTTCCATTTAAATTTGTTTTTAAACAAATGGATTCATAGGAATCTAAATTTCACAGAAAAGTGTTTGTAATATAACACACTACTAGAAAAACAGCCTTTTACGATGCACAATGCGTGTCGTAAAACGCTCAGATGACGCACAAATGCGCGTCAAGGAAGACCCTATCATAACGAGAGACGAGACTCTTTTTGACGTTGTAACCTTACGACGTGCATTTACGACGCACAATGCGTGTCAAGGAAGCCCTGTCATAAATAAGATGACACACATTCGCGTGTCGTAAAACGATCCACATTTACGACTTGCATTGCGTATCATTAAAGCCCATGTCATAAAGAAAGATGACGCACATTTTTGTGTGTCATAAAGTTTAAATGTTTTAAAAAAATATATATTTTTTTGTATATTTACTAATTTTCAAATTACATCACACATTTAATGTCTCATAACATAAAATAAAATTTCATACACAAAAAATAAAATAAATTGCACAAATAATAATGTCATAGAAATAATCATTCAAATGTTAAATAAAAACAATACATTGCTAACATGGGTTATACATTCCTATAAAACTAACAACCCTCGGTGACCTTGATCTAGATCGAGGTCGACTTGGATCGATGGCGACGATTTGATTTTAGATACACAACATGATTACTGACCTAAGACCTTGTGCAACAAGTGCATCCCATGCCCTATTTCCAGCAATCACCACACGTTTAGTGTCTCAAGGGCAGACATTTCCTGAGGAGAATCCCACAAACAACACCAAATCTGTTAGAACAAGAAACATTGGGCACCAGAACAAGCAAGCGGCTGAAGGCGGCACCACCAGTTGGGGTTTTGGAAAAAAGACCAAAACATTAATGAATAGATTTGGCAACACGAAGACTTTTTTTTCTTCCAAATTTGCCCTCATGGGAAAAAGAAAGAAACAGGGTCTATGTCTTACCAGGTCTCTGAGAAGACTTCACTTCAATACCCAGTCTGGCCAGATGGCCTAGCATGATGAGACCAATCCATTGTGATATAAGGTGAACAATATGTTGCCCCTAAAGCTCCTGCAGCACCTAAAGCCCCAACAGCACCAGCCAAAACAGGTAGCCTAGAACAAAATTTCACAATTTTATCCATTTACTCACCTAACTATTATTATCTTAAATATTTATTTATTTATATATATTTAAAGTACCATGTCATTTCTAAATTCCCCATTCCATTGGGCTGAGTAACATAGCCAGAGAATGCCATGCCAACAGCAGGAACTCCAGGCCCACCAGGATGCTGCCCCGCAAATTGCATAACTGCAAATTTAATAACAGATTAGACACCATAAAAATTTAATATTTTTTTAATGACCAAATAGCCCTTGGGTTTACCTGGCAAAAACGTTTGAGCACCAGGGAAATTCTGATCACCATGATAAGAAAATGAGCTCCTACCCGTTGTCTGAAGATTGCCTTTTCCTTTTCCATTTCCATTTCCATTTCGATTTACAACCAATGCTGTTTTAGAATTATCATTAGATTCTGTAGGAGATTCCATCTCTGCGGATTCTTTAGGTGGTGGGGAAGAAGCACGGGACCCACTAGCAGAACGCTGCCCGAATTGCTGACTGGGATTTTGCAGATTGGGATTAAGCTGGTTAAGGGCAGGAGATCGTTGGAAGAATGAACTTGATTTAATAGAATCCTCTTGCATACTATAAATTAAATTCTTAATTAAGAACATAACATCATATATGAAGAAAAACTTTGACCTTACCTTCATCAATCGAGAGAGGGATGGAAACACATTGATAGGCGGGTAAATCTACAGATTTTCATCATACAAGTTACAAACAAGTAAATTTTAATCTTAAAAAACAAGTGCAGGAACAGAAAGTTATGTTCAGAATCTGACTTGTCTGTTATGGAGCTGTCGGTCAACAGTTTCAAATGCGAGATGTCCAACGAGTAATCGAACGATGTTGTGTTGTGCGAAAAGAGCTTGACATTTTGGATAATGAGCTATGAGCTCCGATACAGCCCAGGCAACAACTGCTTGCACTTTCATGGGACCTTCTTTGAGAATTTTAACAAACACCGAGCATACACCGGCGTGAATCATGTGTTCAACGCTCTCAGGATCACGACCTAGCAATCCGATTGCAGGCGCAGCGTTCTCCTAACCTTCTAGTTTCCCTTCTTTCACCAATTTCAGCAACGGATTGACTCCGCCTTCTTCAATTATCAACTTCCCATACCAATCGTTCTCTCTCGCAAGCGAGACAAGCGACGCCGCCGCGTTGGACCTGTCATCTAGGCTTCCGGTGTACAAAATCGTGATTTGCTCCCAAATTAAACATAAAATAGGTTCATTAGCAGCGATCGAAAAGAGATGAGCCGAGTTCAGAGGTGAGTTGAGGTAGATTCGGTAGTGGTGGAGGCGGATTAGGGTTTACAGAGAAAAGGAGAAGGAGGGAGTGAAGGTTGTCGGTTGGTGGCATGCTTGCCTTGATCGACGTCGACGACCGGGAATGGCAAGTAACGAAGGTCGAAGTGCGAGTGAAGAAGTAGATGGCAGTCAATGTCCAATGTCGGGAGGGGGAAGGAAGGATCGTCGATAATTAGGGCAAGACGTTAAGGAAGAAAAAGGAACGCGGGGTTTTTAATATTTTAGGATTGCATTTCCCTCCCCCCCCCCCCCAGCTATTAAAGGATGGAACGCGCGTTTCCATTAAAATTTATAAACCGACATCTTCAGACGACACACATTTTATTATAGGCGCCCTCCGTGTTTTTTTTTGTTTAGACACTAATTTAAGGGCACGCAAAAATGCACGTCCTAAATCCATAAAAATTTATAGAGAGATGACATTATTTTTAGGTCACACACTTTTGCGTATCGTAAATCGATGCGTATCATAAATTGCACGTCGTAAAAGGCTGTTTTTCTAGTGGTGACAACATCAGAGTTTTGACAAAATTTTGACATTTCTCTATCGTGGAAGGTAAGTATGCTAATGTTAGTTTTCGATTAGAGACTCACTAGTATATACCAGTATTATAGGACATCGGTAGTGGTACGATCGGAAGATAGTTCAAGGCATCGTTAGAATCATCACGAAATAAGTTGTGAGTATTCACGGACCCTATTTTCGGTTTTTCAAATTTTTGGGTGGAAAAGCATGTCGTTTATTCAATTATGTTCGTTATACTTATTTTAAATTGTATCAAATATGATTTTCTATGTATGTGTTTGCAATTGTCGATTCAAGAGTCATGTATTGCAGTAAAGTCCTTGGAATCATTTGACACAACTCATTAACTCTTTCGAACCCATTGTCATTATGTATATCGTTGTTAGGAAGTAGACAACTCCTCACTTGCACAGTTCGCAGAGTGCATTTTATCATATTTTCCCCTATGTTAGCGATATACATAGTATTCAAGAGGGCACCCCTCAGTCTTATGATTGGGTTGTGAACTCATGGGTTGATCACTTTGCATATATGGACTTTGTTTTATATGTTGGTATCGATTTTTGTTTCTCATGATGGTAACAAAGTTTGTTTCTCATGTTAGCATCTAAGTTTATTTCTCATGATAAATAACTAACTTTATTTCTCATGATAACAATGAACTTTGTTTCTCATGTTAGCATCGAACTTTATTTCTCATGATTATAACAAACTTTATTTCTCATGATAACAATGAACTTTATTTACTCATCTTAGGAACAAACTTTTAATTATCGCACTTATTTCCAAAAACTGAAGTTCTTGACTTATAAATCTTTTTATCTTTTACATGCTTTTTGAGGAACTCTTCTATAAGATGTGTGACATCCCCTAATTTCTCAGTCAAAAAAGACCGATTTAATTTATGCTTTTTAAAATAAAATCAGAGAAATCTTTTCAAAAGATGTTGCGGAATAGGTCCCCAAAATAAAACATGATAAAAGTTTATCAAAACCCTTCTTTAAGAAGGTATATATTTTCCATATATATCAAAACCTCGGGATGTCATGTTCCGATACAGATCAAAAGTATAAACAAGACATTATAAGCCTTACTACAGTTATTTACAACTACTGGCATATAATCAAAAATCTCTCATCGTCCTCCGACTATGCTCGGGGTCCACTACCTGTAATCATGAAAAGCTGAGTGGGTCAGGCTTGGGAGCCTGGTGAGCATATAGGGTTTTCAACCCACAATAATAATAACTTATTAAGTTCACCAATCAACAATAACCCTGATTACCCATTCCCGTTGTCCTCACTTTACGTCCCTAAACACCTAACACAAGGGACTTAGCCTAAGGAATATCATCGGGTTGGACACTGCTGCTAAGGGGACTCCTCAGCCATACATGTCCTAAAGGCAACCATGAGGGGGATTGGAGTACACCAATGAACATTTAGTTCATCAACACCTACAAGTTGCGAACTTGCTAGTGTACCACTGGACTGTCTAGAAAGGTTCGTGATCTCCATCTATACTCCGCTAGATGACTACAACGATAACACCAACAACAACACCGACATCGAGGCCTCTCATCATTTTAACACCCACCCACTATTTTGTCTACCCATGTTCTACCCAACATATTTGTAGATAAAATACATATACAATTTAAAACTTGTATAAAACATCAATTCAACAGTCACCTCAAATAAACAATTAACATATTTACACATAACACGTATTTTAAGGTAAATACTTCATATCTATGTGTAAATTGAAAGTAACTACACACTCACATGTTTTGATGAAAATCGGGCAGCAATTCGTTTCCTAAAACGTTCGTTTCTAATAAAACCGGGAGTTTTATTCAGAAACCGGGCTCTGCAAAAGTCGGGCTTCGAAACCGAAAAGATAAATTTTTCGGGCTTCACGGGCACTTCGTGGCGTATTATGGGGCTTATAATTGATACCGGGGCTTCGGGCGATGTTAGTATGAAAGAAATATGAGTTTAGGGGCTAAAATAGACAATTTTCCAAAGTATACCCGGGAGGTCTCGCACCCTCCTATTTATAGGAGCGAGCCTCCTGATCCAACGGTTGAAAAGAAGCCACGCGTCGCAGATCCGAAGCTCATAGGGGATGGCTCGCACATAGCTCGCACCTGCGAAGGCTTGCTGGCAGCTTCCTACTGGACCGAGGTCTAGGGTCCGAAGTAGAGGGGTCTGCGGCATGCTGCGAGGGTTCGGACACGCACCAAAGGGCACGCGTCGGATTCTTAGTGGACCGCGGGTACTGTTCATGCGAGGATGAGTCATGGATCGGACATGGGGATCGGGCCGCTGTTCGGACGAGCAGAAGGCGACGTGTCAGCAGCTGGGTCTTCGGCTCGGACACGTGGCACGATGACTCACCGAAATCAGCCTTATCCTTGCGAGATTTCTCAAAAATTGTGCCCCGACCTTCTAAAATCCGTAACTTTTGCATACGGGCTCCATTTTTGACGTTCTTTATATGCACACGTCGGCTAATTTTGATTTTAATTTTTTATATTATTATTTTTAACAGACCGGGACATGAAATCGGTTAAAAATTCATAAGTTCTTCATCCGACGTCCGTTTTCGTCAGACTTTTTACGATTGTGCTACTATTTACGAGACCTTCGATGCTCGTTTAGGTTGTGTCGGGTAAAAAGCACTCGATCTAAAATTCGAGTTTTTAGTTGTCTACTAATAAGTTGAAACTTCGAAAAATCATAACTTCCTCATACGAAGTCAGATTTGGGCGTTCTTTTTATCGAACTTCTCGGTTTAACGAACACTACGAGTTTCGTTTAGATTACTAAGGCTAAAAAGTAGTTTATCGAAAACTCACTTTTTACGACATTCAGCACCGAGCCGGTTTTGTCGTGAAACTTCGACAGGTCATAACTTCTTCGTTATAACTCGGATTTCGGCATTCTTTATATATATGTAATCCTTGTCACGACCACTACAACTTTCTTAATAGATATCAGGTTTATCTAAAATTTATTTTCGACGCTCATTTTTATTCTTAATTAATTAACTCCTAGTAAATAAGCATAAAACACATAAAACACATAGAATTCACATAATTCCTTTTTCATTTTTCAAAATGAGTTACAAAGGTTAACCTAGACTATCACCTTAATATTAATGCCTAGGCTCGAAACACGAGTGTTACAATTCTCTCCCCCTTAGGATGATTCCGTCCCCGGAATCACACACCAACAACAACTGCGGGTAGCGACTCATCATGTCACTCTCCGTGTCCCAGTTGAGATTTAGCCCATTCGTATGTTTCCAGCGCACAAGCACTAAATCAACCATCTTGCGTCGCAACTTCATAGTCTTACGATCAACGATCGCCTCAGGTTCTTCAATCAGCCTCTTGTTTTCATCCAACCTTAACTCAGAAATCGGAATTATGTCGGGCACATCTCCCGTGAACTTCCTCAAATAACACACATGAAATGTGTTATGAATACTCTCCAGTTCTTCCGGTAATTCTAGCTTGTAAGCTTGATTCCCGATCCTCTGAAGAACTTTAAATAGTCCAATAAACCTTGGACTCAATTTTCCCCTTTTACCAAATCTTATAAGTCCCTTCCACAGCGAGACTTTAAGTAAAACCGAAACTCCAACTTCGAAGGATATCGGTTGTCTTTTCTTGTCAGCATAACTCTTTTGTCGATCTTGAGCAGCTAACATCCTCTCCCTTATCACTTTCAACTTTTCAGCAGTTTGATGGACTATCTTAGGTCCCATAAACTGCTTTTCCCCAGCTTCCAGCCAGCATGATGGCGTTCGACACTTTTCTCCATATAAAGTGTGATAAGGTGCCATCTTGATGCTTGAGTGGAAACTATTATTATAGGAAAATTCTACTAAAGGTAAGTGTTCATCCCAGTTACCTTGGAATTCTAGGGTACATGCTCTCAGCATATCCTCCAATGTTTGAATCGTTTGTTCGCTCTGACCATCAGTTTGCGGATGGTAAGTTGTACTTAAACACAACTTGGTACCCAATTCCTCTTGTAGACTCCTCCAAAACCTTGAGGTAAAACGGTTGTCGCGATCGGATACAATCGTTAACGGAACACCGTGTAGCCTCATAATTTCCTTCACATAAGAATTCACA